GGGGGGGGGGGGGCTGCCGGGGCCCAGCCACAAGCAGCTCCCCCCTAAGAAAAACTCTGGGCAATTAGAAGTCATGTTAGAAAGAGCAGTGCAAGCACAGAGAAAAGGTTTAGGGCAGCCAGGGACAACATGGAGGCAGAGACCTCTACCTTGGGGCAGGAGGAGTGTCGGGTGGTCACCGGCTGCAGCTTGGCCACCTTCTCTTGGGCAAACAACACCTCCCAAGTCACTCGGGGCCCTGCAGGCACCCCTCCACAGCCACACTTGCCCAGCCAGCCCACGCTTTGCATTTAGACCACTTGCTGGCTTCTGCTTGCTCTCAGAGCAAACACAAACGTGTCCTCTGTTTGCACACAGCCAGGAAGAAGTAGAAGCCATCACAAGCAAAACAATTCAGACAAACGTGGCTGTGCTTCCCACCAAGAAAAATCCATGCGTGAATCCCACCCCAACCACGAAGGAGGGATGTAAGGCCAAAATATCCTCCAGTTTTGCCAGGATATTTTGCCTTGCCTAGGTGTCCTGAACTGGTGGAAGAGGAATTGGAGACAACCAGGCACTGCTCCATGTGGCACTTTGCAGACACTCCTGCTGCTCTCAGCCAGGCCAACATTCAACTTGCTACTCAAAGCAGCTGAGACAGGACAAAGCCCTCACTGTAAAGAAGAGAAAGGCTCCCAGAAGGCTGATGCATGTCCCTTCTCCCTTCCAAACTAAGTGGACAGGTATGAGGGGCCCGTGAGTGTCTGAGACAGAAGGCTGTCCTTGGGGATAGAACCAAAACCACACAAGGTCATCTGGCCTTCCTGGGGTGGGAGAGGGATCTTATCCAGGTCAAATATGATTAAGCAGATGAAGAACTAAGCAGATATAGATGAGCCGCAGCCCATTTCATGTGCTAACTGAATTGTAGCCTTCCAGGCAGCCAAACAAATGAAATCACAGCTGGAGGCCTGGCCATCAGCTGCTGATTCCTCAGCAGAGTAAGAGCAAGCAGGAACAAGGCTTTGTTTCGGAGAAGAGAAGGAGAAGAGAAGGAGAAGAGAAGGAGAAGAGAAGGAGAAGAGAAGGAGAAGAGAAGGAGAAGAGAAGGAGAAGAGAAGGAGAAGAGAAGGAGAAGAGCTACTGTTCCTACAGCCAAAATAACAGCTGTCTCCTGCCTCATTTTTTGAGCAAAAACAGTAAAAAGAGCAGCTCCAAAGGTAACAAAGCAGGTTTTCCAGCGCAGAATTCTGCAAAGACTAGCTCTCCACAGGAAGATGAATCCCAATCCCATCCTTTCCCTA